ATGCAAAAGTGAGTTGCCTCTGCAGCAACTTCAGCTGGAGGATCAGGTTGCGCTGGTTCATCGGGATGTGTGTCCTGAGTAAATGCACATGGACAAAGCAAAATTTGGTACAGAGTGCGCAGCCTCTACAAAATGCAGACCCACTTCACAATTTCTAGAAAATGCCTGCACATGCCTTTACCCAGAATTAAAACACCCATGTGATTTCCATGGCGCTGACAGCAAAGAATTCTTTTTTACTTCCCCTAGTCGCACGATGATGCACAACTCAAGCATCATCAGACTTTCTGCGATTCTCGCAAGCTGTACGGCAACCTTGGAATATTTGCACTAAGCATTGAATTTGGGGCACTATGGAACACTACAAAATGGCAAGGTCTAACGGTTGCACTCAAGCGCTCTCCAGTCACCTGTACTCTTTACACATCTGCTTCAACTTGGTGTAGCTCTAGATTGCGTCCCAGGAGATTCAAGGACTCTCAAAGCTCCGCTCGTTGAAGCTCGCCGCGGAAAGTCGGCCAGCATTCAAGCAAAGCCCGGCTAAAGGCAGGGGTAAAGGCCGCAGACTGTGCCAGGTGCTTTCCTCCCTGCCAGCCTTTCTTGCCACCGGGTCTACTGATGCGATGGTGATAGTCCTACAGGTTGATTCAAAAAGGCCCTGCAATCACTATCACTACCAAATGCAAAAGCAAAACCTCTTCTACTACAAAATGAAGAGTTGAGTGCAAATCTCCTTCTTGTTCTTCCGATGTTTCTGGCGGTTTGCAAAGCGACGCTGGAAGGCCGCCCTGTCTGCCTTGCTCAGTTTTCGCCGCAAAGTTCCAGTGGTCCTGCCCGCAGCATGGAGCAGGGGTGCTTGGATGTGGTCTTTGCTGTATTGCAGTCTGCTTTGATCTTGATGCACTATATATATTTTTTCAAGAAAAACGGTCCTCATGTTGCTCAAGAGATGCGTGCACTTCAACAGGTCGTGGCCCCAGTAAGCCATCCACGTCGTGGTGACAATCCTGGTAGTACAGTATATGGTGATATATATATATATATGGCTTCGGGATGCTTTCGGATGTATATGGTAGATTATGGTAGCATATTATTTCATATTATTTCCAAAAACGGGTCATCAAAATTCAATCATAAGAACAAAATAGAACAAAAGTCGGACATCTGACAGACAAAGAGCAAGCCAGTGACCAAAGCCAGGTCTATCATTCCTGGTTGCTTGTACGCCCAGCTTCCTGATGGCTGCTCCACAATCAGCCGGATGGAACTGCGCACTTCGTTCAGCACTCGGACAAAGACTTCCTGATGCGTGCCAAGAGCGGACATGCACTCACATTTTGTAGTGTTTATGCCTGGCACCTCTCATTTTGTAATTTATATACTTTTGGCGGCCACGCTGCAAAGTTCGTCCAAATGCGATGAGCCATGCGGACCTTGAAGTTCTTCCAATTGCCAGCAGGGTTTCTTCTTGTTCTTTTGTGAACAGAAGCGCAAGCTGGACCGTACAAGGAGCAGGGGGGAGCTGCCACAACCACACCGTCATTGGTCAACCTCACTCCACTTCAAGCAGCAGTTGGGAAACATCTAAAGAAACCTCGAATGTACAAAAATATCTAAATGCTGTTCTATATAAAATGATATAAAATGAAATCTTGAGTACCAAGAAGCTGCATACCCAAACGAAGGAGCAGGAAGAAACCCATTTTGGTGCAAAGGTCGTGCCTCTTTGACAACTTTATGTCAAAGGCTGTAGCAGCAAACCCTGCCTTTCGCCATGCTCTTGTAACGCTACGTGATGCACCAAAGAGATCAAGGGCATAGTAAATGGGCTTGCCTCAAAAGAAGGAGCGTGCTCCCATTAACAAAGACATTGTTTAGATTCTTTAGTGACTGAACTTGAGAAAACAAAAACTGCTATTCTTTAGTGATCTAACAAGCCCAAGCAATCCCAAACAGCTCTACTAAATCCACTATGGGGCAAGATAGGCTGCGAGCCCATGACACGGCATCTTGCTGATGATCCTCGGCCCGGAACCACCTCAGATCATCATTGTCGCATTAGTCTTCTCTCCACAATGCGAAAAATCTGTCTGCGGATGTCTACGGTCTAAATAGATTCCAAGCTCAGTTCATTTTGTATAATTAAAGTCATAGCGACATTCAGGTACTGCATTTTGTAGTGACCAAGATTTGCTCACCAATCCCGACAAGCAGCAAATCTTCCGTTACTGAGCATGTAGTATCATCTTTCAAAGAAGGAAGCGCTGCAGAAGCAAACATTGCCAGCATCCCAAAATGGAAAAGCATTGCAAACACAACTTTGACCATTGCTTCAACACGCTGCGCACGTCTAACTGGACAGGAACTGCGGTGCTGCAAGCCAAATACACAACAAATGTCACTACATGTCACTACAAAATGCAACATTTAGACTAGAACCAGTGTACCAAATGCAAATGCCAGGCATGCAAACTCTACCAAATGCATTTGTATGTCCTGAAGAATCTCAACAACAGCCCTATGGGAATGCACCACCTACCTCCGAAAGCTTGAACACCTTCTGCCATCAAGAGTCCGGAGGGTGCGGAATTGGTTTTCGCAACTTAGGCATCTGCTTGCTGATGACAAGGGTCCAAGACCACTTCTGCTCCGTCCTCGGCTAAAGATTGCAGTGATTCAGTAAGTGTATACTATACATACTATACATATATATATATATATCGGTGATCATCGGTGTGTATAAATAATAGCTCTATTTATATTACATACTCTACAAAGTTCTACCAAAAGTTATAGAGACCAGGATTGCTCTCTACACAAAGCACTTCCTCAACCCCCTGAACAAGAATTGTATAAACATGTTCCCAAATGCACCCAGCATAATGATCCCAATATTTTGTAGTAAGAAAGTGCTTGACAAGCCTATCCCCTCCCTCCTTTGCCACCAAAACACTTGCACCAATACACGTGGTGATGCGATTTGCGACCGTTCGCCCCCTCCATGTCGCAGCGCGCAAGCCAGCATCCCCGCGCTGGTTCCCACACTGCTTTTGGCACTGTCTCTGTGCAGTACCCCACAGCGCAAGTCCGTGGCTGTCCCGGCGGTACAGCAGCGGGCATGCTGATAGGATAGCACTGCAGTCTTTTCCTGGATTTAGATCTATGCCGGTACATCTAGCATGCCCTGAGTGTGCTTTTCAAGCCAAAAATTTGGCTGCATATTCAAGTCAATCTCTACAAAATCAAAAGCCCAACCTCTCTTTAGATCCAGTGGTTCTCTACAAAATGAATTGCCTGAGGTTCAAAGTCATCTCAAAAAAAACCACTCACATCCCTCTACAAAATGTTATGCCTGACGTATGGGGGTGCATTTCCCAGCATCTTACTAAAGAATGCAATGGACATGCCACATGTCATTTTATACAAAATGCACCGTTTTCTTGTTTTGTAGTGGCCTTGAGGCCACCCATTTGGTAGTGGAAATTGGCAGGGGGATCCAACCACTGTGACTCTTGTCTATAGGGTCTACTCCGCCAAGGCATCTCCCCTTTTGAGCCTCACACACCTCAACGACCCACCTATTTTCCCAACAAAAAAAACATCAACAACCGCCAAACCTCGCAGTCTCCCCAAAAAGGACTCCACCCCCACCCCGCCTCCGCTTCTCCACCGCTTGTTCCGCTTTTGCCCGACCCCGGCTCGGCCCCCCGACCGCACTCCGTCTTCGCCTGGCGCACGAAGCGGCCTGCCCGCTCGCTCTCGTGAGGCTCCACCTTGGGCGAGAGACGTTGTGATGGGCTCCGGTGAGCGACTCGGCTCGGTCGTTGTGAATGGATTTTTGTTCTGAAAACGATGGAACTGCATGGGATGAGCCCCCAATATATAGAGATGCCCTTAGCATCCTGCCACCCTGATTTTCTTTGGGTCGCAGCAGTCAGTTTACAGGGCAGCGTGCTGGATTTGGGAAGACTGCAAAGGACGGCCCCCCCAAGCCACTGGCACCTGCGTGGATGGTCGCTTCAAATGCACCCCTAACGTCAAAGACCCCAGCCCAAAGCCCCCAGTTCTCTGTCTGTGCTGGCCCACACATGCTGAAAACTGCGTGTTTATCCTGAATCTCTATGAGCGACTTCGCCGCAAACATCTAGAACAGCAGAAGTCACTTTTCCATTGAGTTCAAGACACTTTGAAGAGCTATCAATGGTACTCATCGCTTTGTGCTTCCATCTCACAAAATGGCACCCAGAGGCTCTGTGAATTTCAGGTTCGAGTCGAGGTTTCTTTTGTGGGAGCAGTACACGTTTAGCTGTTCACCCGGAATATCCCAAGAACTGACAGCAATGCTTGGTCCAACAAATAGTCGAATCGTCCGATATCAAGGAGCTACCAGGATTTCACAACAAGTGGTACCCTAAAGGTTCAAGAGTCACCGAGTCATCTATAGAGATTGAGATTCCAGAATTCGTCCATGTTGCTACCTGCGAGCCAGCATTTGGCCGAGAAGTGAGCAAGTACTTCACCCACCGAGTCGCCTCTGACATCGCCTCTCCTGGGTCGCCTCTGAGAGTCGACTCGGCTGACCTCCGAGTCATCACCGACTCCCACAGCCCGATTCCCATCTGCTTCCGAACCCCAGTCCAACATCCGCTTCGATGTTCACTTCGGCGGATGGGCCCACCAGGTCCCAATGCCCCCCTCCCAAGTGCCGCAAGAAAACCAAACCCAATTGGGCATCCACAGACCCATACAAACCCGGAGGGAGACTCGGTGATGGGAGACTCCTCGGAGTGTAGTCTAGTGTAGTGATGGCACGTTGATGGATTTCCGTAGGGCGCCCGAACCTCCTCCTCACCGGTACCGTAGCGACGAACTGGGCATCCGAACTGGCACGGTGGTGTGCATGTCACCTCGCCCGACCGGCGGGACCGGGTGGGGACCGGGTGGGTCCCACATGGACCGGCCTCGCATGGATGGGTCATGGTGGGGGGGAAAGTGATGGAAGGTTGGGGAGAGACCAGTTTCATTTTCATTTTCCCAGGATCTTCCAGTTGGATTCTGCGGTCGACACTAATTGCCAAGTCCACATGACCTGAATGCAACATGATGCAACCGTCTCACACATCCCGCTACCATACCTCAGTCTGCAGGCTCGGCCATTTAAAAAAACTTTGTTCCCGTGCCAAGGCTTTAGTGGATAGGGAGGGTGAATGAAGGTAACTTGGTGATGCCCCTTTTTCTTCAGCCAAGGGTTCGGTGGTTCGGCTCAGGGGCTGAAAGAGCGACACAAAAACCGCCAAGTTGTTGCTTCATCTATGGTGACTTCAACCACCCCAGTGCCAAAACCGCTCTCTGCTGCAAAGAAACCTCCGACCCGACCCTGATCACTCAACCCACCAGGCGGTATGTCGTTTCGGAGGTCGTTTCGCCAAGGCACCGAAGGACTTGTAGACGTAGGTGATGGCCTGAGGTGCACGAGCGTCGGTGAGGGCGAGCGGTTCGCCGTGTGTCCGAAATGGATGTTGAAATGGATCCGCCAACACCGGGCCAGGAAAAAGAAAGACGAGCGGAAGGATCGGCTATTGAAGCTGAGTATTTGGTGAGGGTTTGGACATGTTCCAAGGGTGGCAACCCCCTCGAGAACTCAGATGGAACCTTCAAAAATGGCCGGAAAAGGGGCATGTCAAGGAGTCCATATGTGCAGTAGGTGTCATGCGTCTTCTACACATTCAAGTGCCGGATGACCCATTTGGCAGACTTCACTGTGGGAGTTGTGTGCCAAAGAATTGCCATGTTTGAGTGCCCAAATAAATCGAAAACTGACCATTTTGACCCTGAGCCCCTACAGCCGAAGCTGGCGTCTGGCTTGCGTCTGGCTGCTACAGGGAGCAGCCAGCACTGATTGGGACCAGACACATGAAAAAAACAGTAGAAACGTGCCTGGACACTCCAAGTACTTGAGAACAGGGAGAAGAAAAAGACGCTCTCTCTGAAAAACCTGAATCACGAAATGGATGGATGCCAAGATGCTGCTGCTGGGCTTCCTTTGATTTGCTCCTATGTCGACGATCTGGTGGGTGCCACGCTCAAGGGTGGGGGGTTGAGGATTGCAACTGCCGGGTCTACCCTATCTGAGCCCTAACCTCAACCGGAAGACGTGAAGGGGCTGTCTCGGTTACCTGCTGCTGGATCTCTGGCCGAATCCAAGGTAAGTTTTAAAGCCGCGGAAGATTGGACCCAATCAACCACCATGGCAGAGTCATCAAAACAGACCTGACACCACCTGCTGGACTGCTGGAAGCCTACAAAAAGCCTCTTGACTCTTGACTCAGTCAGTACAACTCCTTGAACTTGTAAACAATCAAAATTCTCTGGATGCCTTATCCATCCCACCCCCGAAAAGCTTGGCAGTACTCACCCAAACACTCCTCGCTGCACTGCCAGAAGGGCTTGCCAAGGTCCACCTCGCTAGCCCGGGTGGCCAGTTGGGCCAGAGCAAGGTGAACTAACTTCTGCGATTCTATCAAGGTCCTCCAACCCTTGCGAGACAAATCCGTACTTCTCACAACCAAATGCGTTTTCCTCACTTTGCTTTGCAAGAGTTGCACGAGGCAATGGCTTACTTTCAGGCAGCCATGTGCTTGCTAGCCACTTTTACTGGTGTAATGACCTGTCTCAGTCGTCATAGTGGTCCTCTCGGCCTCTCACCTAGCCCAGTGCATCTCTCTTGCCTACCAAGTGAACCAAAAACCTACCAACTTTGTGTGACATCTGAAGCTTTCCCCAAACACACAGACTGAACTTAGAATCTGTGTTACACAAATCTCCCCATGCAGTACTATCCACCCACCTCCCTCAGCTCATCCACATCACCCGAGCTCAACCCACCGTCCCCATCCCCCACAACCACCCCCCATCATCCCACCCGCCTTGGTCCAAGGGAGGTTCGGCAAGTGCCGACTGGTGGCCTCGATGGGCGCATCGCAGCGGAAGGCCCAGTTGTGGCCGCCTTGGGTGGAGAACGCGGGCCCAGAACCGCACACGCTTCGTGGCGGAGAAAGGGCGATGAACACGGAGAAGTGAGGTGAGAAGTGAGACTCCCTTCAACCAATGGGGGTGGTGAGTGGAGGGTTCAAATGGTCTTTTGGGGCGCCCGAAAAAAGCCGGGAGGGGGGGTTCAATCGGGTTTTCATCTGGTTGTGTGTTGTGTTTGTGGGATATGCACAACTGGAAAATGGTATAGGGAAAGTGGGAGGGGACTTCATGTTTGGGCAGACTTGGGATGATGTGAACGGTTCATGTCATCAAAAGTTGGAGGCCATCATTGGTGTGCATTGAGCTGACATGTGGAAGGTGGTCAGACTTGGTGTTCCAACCATTACCCAAAAGTTGAACGAAGAGACCCCTCAGCCACCAAGCAATGAGGAGTGGGCAGGAAGTCGTAGTTCTGGCCGAGTTCTGGCCTAGAAGGTGGAACCTTGGACTGGAATCCTGAGGAATGATTCTAGTGGTTCTATCTTGCGAAATCCTCCACTTGGCAAGCCTGAAATTGAAAAAAAGAACACGACCCGCACCATGCCGCACCCCCCACCTTGGATCGTCGAACGAAACGGGGGCGACTTTGAGACCCCAACCGTTCACGGGCACACCTTCTTTGTCGACATACTCGATGATGTCCTGCCAACATGTTGGCTTTCGAAAAGCCCGGGAGTTCGGAGAGTTCGAAGGTGTGAAGAAATGGTTGGCCATCAATTTGGAGTGCCAAGCCGAAGTCTTGAATGTGTGAAGACCTGTTTCCATGCAGCTCAGCATCGCTTTCAGGAATGTCGAAAAGCTGCTTTGCAAGCTTTACAAACACACCGTTTGGGGCGAAGAGCCTTAAAGTTTTGGCACAGAGATGCACAGAGACTCTCACAGAATCTCCATGAAACCGCTTCAAAACGTTCAGCTGAAATCCATTGAAATCCACCACTTTCTACGGCCATGAATCACCCATTCTCTTCAGGAGTGGCGCAAGCACCCTCCATCGACCGCGAGCCCCGCGACCGCGCGGTCCGCCATGACAGGTTTCCCAGAGGGATTTGGAAGTGTGAGTGTCCAGACTATCGGTCTTATTGCCAAGCAAGATTCGTCCACTTTCCGTGTCAAACACCCAAGAAGGATCCCAGGCCAAGCTCATTATAATTGGTGCTCAGCCTTGCCAAAGGTCAGATAGAGGTTCTGCCCCCAGTGGAATCAAAGACGTCTTCCCAAGTGCGATCGTTTTCTAGACAAGGTCGTTTCATCGAAGTGAGGCGTGTTCCTGCCTGCCAAGAGAAATTGGCCATAGGGTTCAAGGTCTTCTTCTGTTCCTCCCAAACCTTAGCATGCGAAGCGCAGCAGCGCATCGTTAAGGGTCATCATGGCCTCTCACTAGAACAGTGAACTACATCCAAAAGAACCTCAAAGAGGACACCTTCTTATGGTGAACACATCTCCAAGGTGTTTTCGCTTGGAGGCTCGGGGGTCAAGAAGCTCGTGATATCTCCTGATCTGATTCTGGCGGAGCTGGGGTGGTCTACCTAGGACTTTAGAAGGCAGAATAGGTATGAATGAAAGTCTCAGAATGTCAAGGCTGTGCAAAATCATTGGTCTTACGAGCATTGCTCCATTTAAATATACCCTTTGTCTCGGCGATCTCATATTGAATCCACACTTCAATCTCGGTACAGCAAACTCACCAAAACCATCTCATCAGGCAAGGAGAGTCAGTTGGGGGTCTAATGTGCAGGAAGTATTAATAAAGACCCCCAGAGGTCGTAGACAACCTGAGGTGACTACCTGGCGGGTCGTTGAGACCCTCATGTTCACCATCCCTCAGCTGGCACGTGCCCAGCCGGTCTATTTGACGCGCCCGGGTGAGGGTGATGCACCAGCGCGGTGCTGGTGCCCACGGCCCGTCACTTTTCCAGGACCCGGTGGCCATCCGCACAGACCGGAAGAGAAGTCAAGAGACTAGGTGAGGTACCAGGTATCTGAGAGACATGAGCCAGCTATGAAGTTCCTGAAGTCAGCTGCTGATCCAAAAACAACCTGCCAACCTGCCAAAAAAGTGAAGGCAGCTGCCACAAACCCCCCAAAAACACCACCCGGCTGTCCTAAGAAAGCACCAAAAAAGAGAGGAATTAAAGAGAAGTATCGAGAAGGGAACCATCTCTGCGCCAAAAGATCCGAATCGGAAGAAACTCCCTTGGAACCTCCTTGCCGCAACCCTCATGCCAAGGCCCTTGAGGCCATTCACACCTTCCCGCCCTACACCTCCGTCGCGTTGGTCGGTCGCCAGCGAGGCACGTCCAGGGAGATACGCTGAGCTGCCTGGTCCATACGGCGGCCGGTGATCAAAATGTCCTGGGCCAGCCAACGGCAAGGCGCGTGAATTCAGCGCAGGAGAAGCACTGGGACTTGAGAGGGATCTGCAATAGATGCTATAAACATATGTTGGTTCCATCCTTCCCAGCAGGCGGCGAAACACCAACCGGCCCACCTGGTCAAAGAGACTACAAAAATGTCTACAAACTGCTGCATGAACTCCCCCTGCCTCGCTTGCCATGGGCTGAGAGATCACATTGGGTGATTAAATGTTGTGATAAATCGATTTTGTAGAGGAAACACGACTTGACATTGTAAGGGTTAAGAAATCGACTGGCGAGGTATCCTTTTAGATACCATCCACCACCACTTGCGCCATGCACTTGCACGCACCCCCCACACGCCTCGCGCGCCCGCCATCTCCACCGTCCGTCCTTTTGGCATTCGGTCAAAGCACGTTGGAAAGGCTCAACCTGACGGCGCCAGCGCCACCATCACAGGTCGCCCTTTGGAACATCGACGACCATCGACGACCAAGACCCAGTCGCCCTGCGAAGCAGTGGATCGGTGGTCAATCAATCAAACTCGACGAGCATTGGCCATTGGCCCAGCTGAAGCCATCGACGAGGCTGGGATCTACCCCTCATGGAGGTTCCTGTAGTCCGTCCCTGTCGACATCGAAACCTCGAACTCCTGCTTAAGCAAAGGCTTAGACTGCCCTGTTGGAAAATCGGGGCAGGAACCCATTGGTCTCTTTCTCTTCCAAATCGTAACTGTTACTATTGATGGGCGTTCGCGTTTTCTTCGAAAAACATCATGCATTCCAAAGATTTCCCAAGAGAAGTTTCCTTTGACTGCGAGTGGGTGTCTTCCAAATCGGAAGGTGTCCAAATTGACCCCGGTCACTGACGATGACGAGCTCGTCAAACACTGATGTCCATGCTGTCAAGAATCCATCGCCGCCACAAACCAAGTAATGTGCAATTCCAGCCATCTCAACAACGAGTGTGGTCTCAGTAGGATTGAAAGTCAGATCTCATGCAAACTTCTATCAATATGGGGGTGAAAAATGATGCCAAGCACTTCACGGTTTGTCGGTTTGTAACCTTGTGTGATTGTAGTTGAGCGCTGTGGCTGTCAGTGTACTTGCTGGCTGTTCGCTTGCTGGCAGCCACAGCACTCTACCTTGTGCAGGAACCTTCTCTAACACACCTTGTTACTTTCCACACATGTGTTCTGTGGATTCTTCTCCTGCAGTCTAAAGGAAAATTTATATAATGCTTCCCTTCTTGGTCCTTGAGGATTTCCAACAGGTAGGCTTTACTTCCCGCATGTGTCTCAGTCTCAGCTCGTGTTTTCTCGGGGATTCCGTGGCAGGTTTGTTCCGCGAAGTGCTCCGTGGCACCCGTAGCCCGCCACGCCGCGGCCTTGCTGACGAAGTCGAAATCCGCGGAGTCCATCTCCTGAGTCAAATCACGCCGGAGTCTCGGAGAAAAAAGGGGGACTCAAAAAGAATGGCCCAAAAGAAATGTCATGAAAAAAGGGTGCATGTGTGGGTTTAAAGCTTTGAAGCTGTTCTGATTTCTATTTAGGTTCCACCACCTACTCGGATGTACTCAAAATGGGGTGTGTGTGTGTGTTTGTTGGACTTTGGCAGGGCCCACGAGCTGAAATGATCACTAAGTTGAGCACGACACGCCGAGGACACCTCGAACATCCTCGAACCATTCCGACCCCAAACCACCTTACAGGATTGCCAGAAAAAGAGGCGCATTGACCCGAAAACTGTCCCCTCCCATTCATGCACCAGCGCCAGGTCTGCCCACCTGTTCATCACGTGTTCAATCACGTCTTCACCCCTCACACCTTGGAAGAAAGGGCCCAGGACCCCTCACCCTTCGCCGCGCTCAACCCGCGGTCGACCACGCGGTCTACCCGCTCCGCTCCCAGCGCCGGCCTCGCAGTCGCCGTACTTGGCGATGAACTCTTCGGTCCTCGAAAAGAGGGCCAGCCACGGTGCCACGTACCGTCCTGCGGCTTGCCTAGAGGGCTTGCCTAAGGCAGAAAAAGAAGTAAAAACACATAAAAGCATCCTGATCATGCCTGATCCATCCAAAACCACCTGTCATGGATGTACCGCCAAGCTGCAAAAAGACGCCAAAAGACCAAGTTTGTGATCCACGTCTCTGGGGAGAACTAAAGACACGGGTGAACTATGGTTCTGCGGACCCTGCAGGACCCTGCGGCCAGCCACGGCTTTGGTCAGTGACTCCTGGTTTGACATGATCGCTGCTGATCGGTGCACATTGGCACACGTGGGCACACGTGGGAGCACAGTCGTGCAGAGCAGACCAGGTGAAGTTCTGGGTCTGCAATCGAGGACCAGTTCTGGCCATGTGAAGTTGGGCGGATGACAAATATTGACAAATATGATGGGTGGGACAGGATGGAGCCAGTATGCAGAGGTGTGGAAGGCATGAGATTGAATCGTTGGGGATGTGTCCATGTCTGAGTTGTAATCGATACATCTACATGGTCAATCACAGCAAATTCGACAAAACCCCTTGCAAACTCCCCCAACGACCGTACGACCAAAACGGTCGCACTCTCCGTATACTGGATGCTCAGCCCCTTGGCGTCCAGGTGTGACACTTCGTGTGACGCATTCCGGTGTTGGAACGTGATTCCTTCCGACTCCACCACTTCGTCGAATCCGCCAGCGACTTGCGCCAAGGCACGTGGTGACGCCAGCAGGCATCTTCCACATGGCCTGGGCGAACTGGGATTTGGTCCCAGTGGATCTGAAAAGACGAGCGCCGAGGCTTAGGGAAGAGAAACGAACAACGGTGCACCGGTGGGGTCTTCTCAAAGCCACAAACCAAGTAGTGGACATTGGACTGACGTCTGGTTGATTGGCTCTGCGTCTGGTTCCCCCGAATGCTTCTGAATATAAGGCCAACTGCCAAAAAAGAAACTACATAAGAAGTAAGGCACCAAGAATTGCGAGGAATCTGGAAAACACAGTAGTACCGCAATCAACTTCTCAAAACAATCAACTTCATCAACTTCCTGTGTTCTTACTAGCTGTCAACGGTTAATCAGAAGGAAAAGTACTGTACTTGTTGATTGATACCCCCTACGTCATGTCCAGAAAATCAGATTCCCACGTCACTCCAGACTCGCACACAATCCTGGAAATACCGGGTCATACTCCAACTTCAGGCCCCCAGGCGTTCTTTCCGTACTTTGCCTGCGGGTCTCAGGAACATGCTGCAACGAAAACAGCGGCGAAAAGCAAGACTGAGTTCACTGCAGGCTTCGTTTGTTTTCACCCAGGAAAAAGTCACGGAAATCCTTTCGGACCGTCGAACCAAAATTCCATGACATTCCTGGGGACTGTCGAACGAAAAAGACAACATATTAAGAATGCACTGACTTAAGGTCAGAAGTTCGGCTGCAAAAGCTGAAGGATGCAGCTTCTCATGCCTTCTCACATGCCTTCGTCCTCAGCCTGATGTTTTAGTCCCCCTTGAAAAGCTCCTCCGGACTTCTTCTTGCCCCTTACAGAAGCGGATGAAGGAGCTTCTTGCAGGAGGAGTTGAGGCAGGAGGATATTGTTGTTTGCTCCGTCGCCTCCACCAGCTTGGCACATTCCAGGGTGGTGGGGAACAAGTGCAAGGTGTCGATCGCCACCAGGTTCATGCCTCAGACGTGGCGATCGGTGCCCAGTGCGTCGCAGCATCTGCTTCTTGGTTTCTTTCTGGGAAAAAGAAATCCAGTGTTCCTTCAAGAGCGGTTGTGTGTCCTCAACGTGAGCAGTTGTAGACCTTGTGGAAGCCCATGGCCACCGGGTTGTGGTGCTACGCAACGAGAACTGCCACTTTATAAGAAGCGACTTCTACCACATATGCTTTGTCGCCTGATTCCATGTATATCACAAGTGGTTATGATTGAAATGATTGAATCCTGCAAATGGACTCTGACTGACTTGGCCATTGTCTGTGGGACTCCTCGACCTCTAGACTGAGAGCCTCTAGGCCGAGAGGCCCAGGGGGTCGACGTGTCCCCGTGTCCGTTCGACTCGAACCTGACGAACCCGAGCAGCGAGCCATAGGCTCTGCTGCTCCAAGAAGTTCATCTTTGAATTCCTGTGAATTCCATTCACGGTCAACTCCGGACTCCTTTAAGCCACTTAGGATACATTAATAATTAATGGTACAAGCATGTGCTTGCGCCAACTCACCCAGCCTTTCACTGGCTATTTGTGGATGTCTCTATTTGTATCTTCTGCATCTGAGGACCTCACTACTCCTTCCAATCAATCTTCACCATTCCACCATTCCGCCATTCCGCGCCCAGCTCTTTCAAGCGTCCCTCCTTCCGTTCTGAGCCTCCGGACCGTTCAAGACTTCAGGGAAGTGTTTTCGCATGAGCGCCTCAGGCCCCCCCGAAGCCGGTTTTCTGGCCGCGGGCGGTGGTCGAACTGCGGGCGCGCCGAGGCGAAAAAGAAAAGCAGAGCCTCTGGTTGGAAAGGTTTTCAGAGCCTCTGGTTTATCCCAAATCCTGATGCCATAAACTATCATAAACTTAGAGGGTCGTTGCTTTCATCATTGCTTTTTGAGGGTTGCATGACAAAACCGGCCACATCACAGACATGAGCTTGCGGAATGAAAGGAACATTGCTTATAGCAGAGTTTTGTAGCGTGAACAAGGCAGTCATGGAGTGACAAGATGATACAAAATGACAACAACATGTATTCTTTCTGCGTCTCATTGTCTTCACTTCAGCTGAGCAGCCACGAAGACGTTGTCAGTGGCCAGCCAGGCTGTTGCAAACACCACCTGGCAGCTTGCTGGAGCTTCTTCCCATACACCGAGCCCCAGTGGTTCCGCAGGGTGTGGCTCAGCATGGGCGAGCGAAGCTGTACATGTTCAGTAGTAACCTTTCGGCGACCTTTCTGGCTGCGGTGGTACTTAGATATTGACCAAGGAAGCACCAGCATTTTGGACCATTCCCGGACCAGTATATTTCAAGAAACCTATGACATGGTCGCTTGAGACTTGAGACCACCCGGGTTTCGCTGGTCCTGTCAGTTTCGTTGCCGATCCTTAGTCGACACTTAAGAAAATATGGGAACACACTGAGACAAATGACGTGTCGACAGCTGAAATGGCGTTCGACCGCTGAAATCTGAAAGCTGCAGGGCAGTGCCCGTGGCGCCTGTTTCCCATCCTTGGGGAGGTTCTTCTCAACGTGGAAGCAGAAGTCGTCCACCTGAACAGCTCACAACGAAACCGTGGTTTTCCTCTCCAGGGCGAACCTGGAACCTGCACTGGATTCTTTTCCTCGTAGTCCAAATTCCAACTAATTCCATAAAAAAGATCCTGTAGCTATCATACCGTACCTTTCTCGGAGACCTTTCGGAAAGGGTGGCCTCCATGACGTGTCCAGCTTTCTGATCCAAGCATCCACCCCACTCTTTGAATAAGCTTTTTTCACAACCAGAATATCTTAAAGTCTTTCAAGATTGCAGCCACTGACCGCCAAAGTTACCACCTTCAGCTGCTGCCATTCCAGGTTGTTTCCCATGTTTGGTCTCGCTTTTCCACGAAAACTTGCCAAAAAAAAGAGAGAAACACCACCAACTTCGCTCGGCTCCGCCGCTCCGCCGCTCCGCCTTCAGCTGCAACGAGGAGAAGCCGCGTGGGGCTCCGGCGGCCCTCAATGCGAAGCCCTGCGCGGTCACCGAGTCGCTGGCGCTTCGTCGCTCCGAAGCTCGCGCTCCCGGTCGCGGTGACTCGGGCGTCGCTGGGTCAAACTCGCGGCAACTCCATCCAATTTGCGGCTGAAAAACCAGGGGAGATTGGATGGAAATGGATCTTTCCATTGGGACAAGGCCCATCGTAAAGTGGCCATTTCAGGGTTTCATCCGCTTCTAGGTGTGCGTCAACAAACTCAAAAGGGCTGGGGATACCAAGTACCGTTCATTCGTCCTTTGAATGCCTCTGGATTGGCTCCCTCACAAAAGCAATCTGAATTGAACTCAGATGAACTATATAACCCAGACACTCCATGCCATATGCCTACATTGACCCCCGAAACCACCCCAATGTAGGCAAATATGGCAGTCCCATGGAGCGTCTGGGTACAGTAATATTCCATTAACACAAAGGGAGAACTAGCCCAGCAGGTCAAAACCCATGAAAACTGGTCTTAAGTTGGATGTTGTTCGCACCGCCGCGGAGCAGCAGTCGGAACCCAACGACCTTTGATCTGGGGTTCCACGCCAGCTTCCTTGCCAAAACTGCTGAGGTAGGACCTGACACATCGTCCACACTGCCAGGACGGTGCAGCCGCGGCCGCGTTGGGAGGGTTGTGGCCAATTGATGGAGAGATCTACAAATTCCTCTGACAGATCTGATTGTTTGTAAGTTGCACACTGTCTTTTTATGGTGTTCTTTCATTCTCTGAGGCCACAGGAGCCTGAGTGAATGGAGCGCCGGTGGCCAATCTGCTCATCCAAAATGGATGTGGATGTTAGTGCTGAAAGGGCATTGAAAAGGTTCATGCTGATTCATGCTGAACATGCTCCCTGGTAGTTGCTGATTGGCATCAACATTTAGTTAGAGAGTCCAACCCCTACATCACCGCGAAGCCTGGCGAAGCCCGCTGCTCGCCGACCCGTTGTGCCGCCCGCCCCCTCACACACGTTCTTTTTTTGAGCATCCCGGCGCATCTGCGAAGCCATGTTTTTCGGTCGGAAGGGGGGTTGGACGGCGAAAGCTTTCTCCGCTCGTGGGACGTTTGAACCCTTTGATCTGCGGAAGGATCTCTCGGTGGATTGGGGAGTTGACGTCGGCGACATGAAGCGAACTGAACGAGATTGCGTGGAAGATCGTGGAAGAAAAAACCGAACTGGAGATGTGACATGTCCTCGTCGTTGGTCAACTTCTCAAACACTTCCGTGGACATCTTTTCCCTCTGCTGGGTCGGGATTTTGCTTGGGCGGGAACGATTGAACACATCTATCAGGATTGCTGGAAACTGATGCAGATCCTGCTGAGAATCACCACGCTCAATAGAATCTTGCCACTCCAGGGTATGTGGCTGACCAAACGGAATTTCGGAATCAAGCAGGGCAGTCCGCACAGACACACCGACCTGTTCTCTGAATCCTGAATCGCGTGACCACGTGACTGAACTGTACTAAACTGATCAAAAGCCTCAACCATGCACAACCATGCGCAACAAGAGATTGACTAGACTAAACTCTCCAACCGTTCTCAAAATACTGCTCTTTGGCCAGAACACATCGGGCAGGTTCCAAGTTGTCAATCCCCAACAAACCACAAAAACAAACAGAATATCCCAGCATGTCGCCGATGCGAGATCATCTGCACCAAATGGAGTCCCCCAGTTTGCTTCGTTTCGACCCACTCGTGGAATGCCTTTTTTCGCAGCGGTCGCCCACAGTGGGTCTGCTTTCTCAGCGCCGGGCCAACAGTGGGTCTGCTTTCTGCGATAACTCATGACCTTTCTTTTGTGACCTCAAGACTCCAGTAACCGCCTTTCACAGAATTAACAAACAGAGTCTTGGAGTTCAGTCACGAACACACCAACTGTAATTCTTAATCAAGGGTTGATTGCATCCTTGATAAAGAAACGTGTCAATGGCTGCTGATCTTGTCCATGTGATTATTGGCTATGTTCCTCTTGCTTTTGTGCCGTTCAGTATCGGGCTATATGTTTCCTCTTCTGGATATGATGAGTGATTGATGTAATAAGCGTCCTTTGGGTGCAAATACCCGAATTGTGTGTTTGTTGGGAGTCGGGAGAACTGTCATGAAAGCTCCAAGTGAGACCTGAGATGTGCCCTGCATGCCAACAAGCTTACGCGACTGAAACGGCCCGCGAGCTGGTTCCAGTCATGAGAAACGGCACGCGACGAACCAGCGCCCTTTTGTGGACCGGTCCACCATAGAGTCCGAAGACGAAATGTCGAACCGCAGGTGACTCAAAAATGGCACTTCATCAGAACACCCATAAGGCCCATAACAAACAGCTTTTACAACAAACTCCCAAATTAGTCCAGAGCGCATTGTGTGTTCTATGACGAAAATGGCGACCGGTTTACCGACCTGAAGCGACCGAAGAGGAACCGTCCACATTGGCTCGGTTCCGGAAAATGGACTCGGCACTCGACTCGACTCTGGATCCGCCCGCCGTGGGGTGGGGCGGTTCAGGGTCTTCCATGGTGTCGAAAACGCTCCCTGGCGTGGCGGAGCTTGACCCCGACCCTTTTTTGGTGTGGTTCCATAGCCGAGCTGAGACTTGGTCACCGGAAGCCTTTTTGGGCTTGAAAGTGTCCAAAGAATGTGAAGAAAAGGTTCTTTGTGCTTTCTGCTTCATTCTGGGGTGAGGTCCTCGCTTTCCCCGTGCTAGGAACCTGCAGTCGTGCTAGGTTTAGCAGTTGGCCCGGTAAAAAACAATTCCCAGACACTCCATGTATGCCGCCATATGCCGTCCCATTGACCCCCAAAACCACCCCTGGCCTGATTGACAGTCCTATGGCAGTTTTATGGGTTGTGTCTGGGAATTGGGTGATGTCCCGGATTTCTCGGTGGGACGCCTCTCGACCTGTAAGCCGATCCGCACGTCCGTTCGATCTCTGGTCCGATCCCCCGCAGTGGAGGAGCTTCCGAACAGAGCCGGAAAAGCGGTTGGAACTCTCACTGGTCCTGATCAGCTACATCCCTTGAAGGCATCTGCCAGTCAGCGAGTCAGTCAGAAATCAGTGTCAAGTCGTGCATTGAGATACAGTCCTTGAAGGCACGCTTTCTGCACGTCACGGACACAGTTGGGGATGAGCGACTGAGTCAATTCTGCGCCAAGCCGAGCGACTGAGTCAATTTGACAGACTTGAGGGTCAACGTTGAAGGCACTCCACGGAATTAGTTGATATTGCTTAATCCTGCCCCAGCAGCTGCTCGAGTTTTGGAAGTTGTTTCCAATATGAGTCATAAAGGTCAAACAAAGGCCTTAAATTGTCAACTCTCTTAACGAGTTGCAGTTCAGGGATGTGCCTTTTCGAAGGTAACTCACAAAGGTACTGGCACCTGGTCACGCTCCTGAACAGGCTGCAGGCTGCAGCCGAAATCAAGGTACCTTGATCAATGAAAGCCAAGCAGTGGAAGAGATACTCAAGAATATATATAGTCATGAGCTGCAGCCCAAGAAGGCACCACATCCCAATGAAGTCACAGAGTCAGGGATTGTCCTGAAGGCTTCTTCTGTAGCTGCTTTGAGGGGGAGGTGCAGCTACACAGCATCTGAAGGCGTCACTTCATCACTTCCAAATCTTCCAATCTCAGTCACCCGGGTGGGGATGGTCGATTCTGCCAAGGAACTGCAACCTAGGCAGGCACAAAGTGCGAAGTCACACAATCACAATTGGGGATTGACCATTTTATCAAGGAGCTGCAGCCTTCGAAAGCACTCGTAGCAATTTCTCTGACAGACTTGGGGATTTGCACACAGTGCTCGGTATCTGAACAGCCAGCAACTCTGAACAGCCAGTGCGACCTCAGTGGAGGTGGCTCCGGTCGCATTCCGATCGCTTTTTCTGCGTGAAGGAAATGCAGCTCACTTCGGTTCAGGCCTGTCTCAGCTCCTCCGTCTGCCGCCACTTCACATGGGCTCTGAGCTCGTCTCAAGCTCGGATTTGCTCGGATTCGCCTTTTTGGGGGGCTGCCTCCGCCGGCAAAGCTTTGCAGAACTGGCCAACAGGGTCATCTGGCTTCACTTTAACCTCATCCACTGTCCGATTCTGCCGCACCTGAATCTTCATAGCCAGCCGCCCGAATCAATTTGGACATGGAGCTTGGCCCAAGGATCATCATCTAAGAATCTATACAAGGTGGTTGAAGCCTTAGAAGTTGGAGGAATCTATCCATCCATGTGTTTCTTCAATGTCTTGCCCCCAACCACCCACAGGAATAGCCGCCCTCGTCTAACGTGTGGGCTCTCGGAGTGAGTCCGCAGCGGACCAGAGGAAAAGAAGGTGAACATCAACCACTCGGGAGCCCCTCTTTCAATCACACATCCGTATTGTTCCATATCTGTGGGACTGGGATTGCTTGGGAGTGTTTCGACATGTCACCGGCTAGAGCGGCTAGATAAGAAGGACAGCTTCGCTCTTCGGTTGAGCTTCTTGGTTCCCACAATGATTTTGCATCGCCATGAAGCCTCAAGACCCAAAAGGCATCAACAAGCTCAAGCTCAGGAATGTCACTCTACGTCTACCATCATCTACGAATGAGGCTTCCACACCCACCTTACGATACTTTCAATGTGATCTGCAGTCAAGAGCTAAAGCTAGAAGGAATCCTTACATATCCTTGCCGTGTCTTGGTCACCCAGACCCCCCAAGCCCCAGCCTAGGCCAAGCGCCACTTGCGACTGACCTCCTCGTCGAAACCTTCCTGGCGAGCGGCGGCGTGAGATGCTCAAAACAAGTTTCTTCCAATCCTTTCATGTCAAATGGCAAAAATCCTCAGTTGTGGGAGCAAGTATTGTAGGTAAAGCCCCCCCACTCAAAGAATGCAGAAAGCACTGCAGAAAGCATCTGTCGATGTCTCTTTTGCTGGTTCAAGCTGGCATTACTCCAAAACTCAATAAAGGCCCTTGGACGCCCTGGACTTAGAAGCGATCAGCATCATCCGCTGCACCTCTGCACTTCAACAATCCCTGAAACACCTAGCCACCCTTCCCCTCCGCCCACCCTACTCCACCCATCATGCCATCTGCTGCGATCCGTTCTTTCCAACCTAACTCGCTCTGACTTCTGAACGCAGGACCGGACCCTCCAGCCTCCCACCAAAGGGCACCGCCGGCACCTTCCTTGATGAACTGCAGAACCGTCTTGTTAATGGTTCCTGCGACCTGCGGCGACACATCGATGCCGGCGCAGCCAAACCAACACCGTAGTGGAACCCACTCCCGAAAACGAAGCATGGACCCGGGTCGAATGGTACCCTGAAAGACTGCTTTCCTCTAGCTGCACCAGTGGTTTTCAGGGTCCATGTTAGTTTTCAGCAGGGTAGTTGGGAGGGTCGCACGTCCTGATGCAACGTGTGTGTGACCACGGCCATGTGTGACCCGGGATATAGTCGATGTAAAGATTCGAAGGGGAAACACTGGAGAAATAGAACCGAGAGAACTGGCCCTGGCATGAGTTTTTAAACCTGGACAAATATTGTTGTTCTTGACACCAACATCCAATTCAATTCTAATTCCTGATGAAAAAGAACTCTTCAGCTCTTGAACTTGTCCTCGAACCCACGTGACCATTCCGACAAACACTTCCACACACGCCCACTCCGCCCACACCAACACCAACTAACTCTCTCTCTCTCTCTCGTCAGACGCCCACGGTGCGACCACCTCTGACCTCCGTAACCCTCCGCTCCTCGACGCGATCCGACGTGCGTTCCACGGTGTAGACATCGTCCTTGTCTTCGTCCTATCGCAGCCGTGGCGCGAACGCCCCCCCCGGACGGATCGGTGTTGAAGGGTCCCCCCACCGACCCCATCACCGATCACGAAACAGGCAGGGACGGTCCGGAGGAGCGAGGACGAGATCGCATGGCGACTCCGTCTTGACTCCGCGTGGCGACTCAGGAACGATGCGAAGACGGGAAATTCCATGTGTTCCTGATCCATGTGGAGTCCGAAAAATCGTCATCAGCATGTTTGACTTGCCCTGGCTTATGAGAGTATGAAGAAACCAACTGCACGGATCACAAGTGCCCGTGTTGTTCGTTCTGATTTGCTCAGGGCTGATTGGTAAGCATGGGACATGAAAGGAGAAAAATCGGACGAAGACTGATGAGGTGACGTGATTCATGCAAGAAAACACGTGACATGATGCGACGTCGCAAAGACACTGGGACTGCGAGACGTATTGGGATGAGATGAGATGACGGCTCAGCGGTGTGTAAAAAAGGATGATGAATCGAAAGACAACTGATTTCAGCTAGAGGGAGATTTGTCCGTCAAGCAAATGATAGAAGTCTTGACAAGCAAAAGGGCTGAGCAATCGGGACTTGAATGGAAGACTTTGCACGGAAGAAACGTTATTCAGGCAGGAAGAATTCAAGTACAGTACCTCAATGCTACTGTTCAGATCCGTTAAGAAACTTCAAGTGTTGGAAAATACGCATGGAAGAAGACACTGCATACAACCTTCAGGTTATGCCATCCTCCAACTGGCGTTGTACAAGTCTTTGCTGGCTCATCCACGAGCAGGGCCTATCTGCTGACTCCTTAATTATTCCCTTTTTTCCGGAAGGAGCCATGACGTCCTGAACAACAACAGTTCAACATCATCCGGTTCAGCTATCAGAAAAGCCATCAGACTTCCCAGTTCAACTTCAGTGGCTTCAGTGGCGAAACCATCCGGTCGCTGATCGACCCGAGAGACCCTGCAGACCCGGTGTTGTTTTCGACCCGGCACCGGTGAAGCGAAACAGGAGCAGGTCCATATGGTCCATGGATGTCTTCCCAAAACTGTGACAAACATTCCCAACTCAAAAACTGCCAGTTTTCAACCGTGGATGAGTGCCTTGGATGTAACTCTTCAACTCACAACACTTTGAGGAAGACTATCTAATTTAACTCTTCAACCGTGGATGTGTGCCTTACATGTCTGGCTTGGTGTTGTCTGGGAACCCTTTCACGGGCTCCAAACCCACCAGCATCCGCCATGCTTCGTTCGCAGCCTCCAACAGACCCACGTCACGCCACAACGAGTTGGCCCTCTGTAGTTTCCGCCTGGAACGGTTCGAGGAACCGCTGACATCTGTGGAACCGCAGGAGGATCCGCGTCCCTTCGATCCGACGGCGGGGATTCACGTCGATCGGTCCATCAAGTTTTGCCTTTGAAAGGGATCCTTATTGTCACTGCATGTATCAGCTACCAGCGATGCGCTGTTCTGCTGACTGCACGCTGAGGACATAGGTGACACGGTTGAGGATCAACACGTGAAATCCAATCTGTTCTTTTGGACATCTTCCGCCTGGAAATCCAGTCCCTGCAATCCCAAGAGAGAGGCATGGCCACTCACTTCTGGAAGGACGTTTTCGTCTACCGATGAGACTTCGTTGCTTGCGGGAGTGTCCAAGCAAAAAGCGTGCAGGGTCATGAGTCATGACCCAAATCACCTTCACTCTCTGAGCCCTCCACTTCACGCATTGGACCGAAGGACCTCGGAATCCCAAGGCATCTCTCCCATCAAAGACAGGGTATGATTTGTGATCCATGTTCCCCTCTTTGTCGCAAAATGATGCAACATGCACGTCCTTGGCAGCTTACTTTGTGCCTTTGCAGGCGTTCTGCATTCCCCCGGCTTGATGTTGCTAAACGCCCGTTGTGACATTGGGGGCATGCTGGCAACTCCCTTGGAAGAAAACCACATGCTTCTGCTCGACACATGCTTCTAGTGAACTATGACAGACCCTGCACCAGACCCTGCAAACACATTTCCCGCACGGCGCAGTAGATCCGTTGGGAGGTCGAAGAAAATGCATGAAAAGCATCAGCATCATAAGGGCAAGCAAAGCCATCAATCCCATTGTTTGAATATTTGGTTCCTCTTCCTAGAACAGCTCCTCTCACGGTCTTTCCACTAGCTTTTCCAAACACTTCGAAGCAAACCCTCCAATTGACTCACCTAGGTTTGCTGCGATGACTTGCCACTTCCAACTTGGAGACTTTGTGGATCAATGGTCTTGCTCGTTAGAAGTCGGCACATGTTGCACAACTCCTTACACAATGCTTCTGATTCATTTGTGAGTTGCCTTGCGATTGCTGTAGCAAGATTCTGAGTCACAATGGCCATGTTTGCTTCGCTCCAGCAATCTGATCAATGGTTCCTCAGTTTTCTCTTCATTTGGTGTTTGGAGAACACGTTATAGTCGCCATGTCGCAGTAATTCCTGGTTCGACCCTGCCTCCTCCTCCTCCTCCGGACTCCTTCTCCTCTGCTCTGGACTGGCCAATTTGGGTTGTATGTGGGGGTCTGAGCCTGAGCTCATTGCTTCTCAACAGGCTGCCAGAACTTGATGCCACAAGAGACCCAACGTTTTTGCAGTCTGCTCAACAATCCGCTCTTAACTACAACTCACCGGCGACTTCAGCCTTCAGTCTTCTGTCTCGACCTCTCACCCCAACACAGCGCGCGTGGCGCGTGGGCGCTCCCAAGGCATCCCAACGGAGGTCCGTGGCCCAGATGGGCACGTAGTTCCCATCCGGGTCCTGGGGCGCAGGGAGGGCAGGGAGCGGATTTCACCAAGACCGGCGTTGTTCGGCGAAACGGTTGGTATTTTTGGGGGGTGGTTGACATTTGGGCAGTTGGGGGGGGGGCTGAATGTTTGACCTGCAGCCAAGTGCCGCAATGACCTTATCAGGTTGGGGAACTCAAGATTATATTCAAGACAAGTGTGAACAACTGTATACAAATATGTCACCAAACTGCGGTTTTCAGTTGATGCATGACCCATTAAGACGTCCTTTCCCCCCATGAACTCCCCCCCCAGAAAAGTACCTAGCAACCATGGTGGCCGGGACCTGATTTCAGACCTCACCAAACTCCCGTAGGCCGCCATGGGCTTCGTTCTCTTCCACCAGTGGGGCCCTGTGAAGCGGATCTGTCAATAGGGAGACTGGCAAAGAACTCTGGGAAGGAAGCAAAAAGCGGCTGAGACGCGTAACATGCGGGGTCTCCTTATTCTGGACACACTGCCTAATATACGTACAAAAGAATAACCATCTCAACGGTGTGGACGAGGCGTTTCACGGTCTGAACACATGAAACTATATCACAAAAGGCCTCTTTCTGCAGAACTGGACCAACGGCGCAAGGCTCGTACTCTCTTGGGGATACCTGGGGGACCTTCCACCTGGCATGTCTGCAAGTCCCATGGATTCCCATATGGTACCTGGAGGCCCGACTGGGATTGATTCATCCGGTTTGGACGAGTAGAAGTCACTTGGGGGAACTGGAAGACTCACAAATTGCTTCACAGCTGGATGGCCAGATGGATGTCCAAAAAGATTGGGATGATATGATGATATGTCGAAGTGCTCCAGATGGATCTCGAATTACTTCATCCAATCCACTCCTCCATCCCCTGCCTGCATAAAGACCTGCCAGGGGCTCGGGTAGGCGTGGTACCTCGAGCCCAGCCCAGCACAAGCGAGGTTGCCGAGTCCAGCGCACACGGCGAGGAAACATCGGAAACATCAAAACCACCAAAAAAATTGGTGTTTTTGGTAGCAGGAGATATAGATGGTGACCTACTTGAATGTAGCTTGATGAAGGACATTCCAACGATATGGCACTACGCACTCTCTCTATCTATCTATCTATCTATCTCTTTGTCTCTCTCTGCACATCCTCAGCTTTCTTGGGCTCCGGACATGGCACCCACATAGTTGATATTGAAAGGATCCCTTAAAACCGTCTGCGTGTACCTGGCACGTCCGGTAGCGCCCGAGAGTGCCTGTGTGACGTGTCGCAAGACGATACGAGTCGCCAAGCGTTTTGGAGCACTCGACAGGCGATTTGACCATACTTGGACCTCCTGACCACATGACGGTAGCAGCAATGGCAGAACTGTGAACCGTTCCAACTCTCTGCAACCGTGTGTGTGATCAACACACGTAACCATCCCAAGATTTGGAACACATTCGCCAAGTTGGTCATCTTGCATGTTCACCACTGCGGCTCTTTGTAAAAATGTGTCCAGCCCTATACACACATGCATACACATCCAAAGTACAGAACAAGCAATACAGAACATGTCAAAAATGGTTCACAATATCCCAATTCCAGCCATTGATCCCTGTTGCAAGCTTAAACTGGTCATGATCTGTCACTGCCTGATCCGATGGCGAACGGCCCTCGGTGTTTCCAGTGTGGTTCTTGCGCACTTGCCGAAACGGATGAAGTAGGCGTTGCGGAAGGTGGTGTAGAAGTCATAATGCACCTGGGGCGCATGAAGTGGCCAATCCCATGGGACTGCCGATCAGGCTAGGGGTGGGTTCAGGGGTCAATATATATATATATAAAGGCTCCCAGCACTCCACTCTCTTTTGTCTGCAATGCAAAGCCTA